CCCCCCCCCCCCCCCCCGAGTTGGTTTTACTTTTATCTGATTGTAACCTCAAATTTCCAACGTAATAATATGGTCTCATTTGCAAAATTGAGATTGAATAATTATTTAGTGGAAATAATTGATTAATCATTTTATCCTATTCAAACTATGTTATATTTGAATCGAGGTTACATAACATTATCATATTTCAATGAGATATGAAACTTGACGTCGATGTTTTCAATGAGATTTGAATCGATGTTTTTGTTATTTTGAGTATTATTACTAATTATATCGCACTTAATTTGTAATATTGATTTACTAGTCATTGTCTGTACCTGAAGGCACTATGTTATTTATAAAATTTTAACACACAAAAATAGGATGTTTGAATAATTTCAACGCATAGCGATTAGATTGGTTTTAAATATTTTTTGTTAGTGCAATTGATATCTTATTTTTTTTGTATTGGTCACTTATATTTTTTTAATTGTTGATTAACTTGGACTTTGAATTTTTTTTTAATTTTCTGAGAACTATAGGTTTTCATACAGTAATGATTTATTTTTAGTATGAATAATAACTTGATAATTTTATTTATGTATTACAAAGACAATTTAAACTTTATTGATTAATAAAAAGTAAGAAGTAAACGTCAATCATCAATACTAAGATGCGTGATAAAAAGATCTACTTACAATATACTCTAGGTATGAATCAATTTGTAATAAAAAAGATGAAAAATTATATAGTAAGTATATAATGGTTTTTAATGAAATATTATACCAAAGATTTTGAAAAAATCGATATACTAAATAATTTACATGTCCAAAAATGGTGACATTGTCCATTTGGATACTAGTTTTTGTGTTGGAGTGACGATGTGTATGCGATTATTGGGGTCAAATGTTAAACTTTCAAATATTGAAAAAGAAGTACTAAACTTAGGGATATTATATATTTTATGCATGTTTAATAGAAATATTTTTAATTTTATGCAAAGTTTTATCGTAAATTTAGAAATTAAACAAAACCAACTTCAATCAAGGTACAAACAATACACTTTTAACATATAACATTTAGATCATTTAATTTAAAATGAATTCAATCTGAGTTGTTATTGTGTTTTTTCAAATTTAAGATAGAGACGTATGAAAGATAGAAGTGTAGAGTTTTACGATAAAAGGTTTTTTTATGGGCGGGAAAAAAAATTTATGATTAACTGTAGACTATTAGATCAAAATTTTTTAGATGATCTGAACCGTCTTTTATGTTGAGATTACGTTGTCCGTTGGATGTGTTTATGTTTTGTTTCAAAATGATTTGGACCTTTCCTTTTGTCTTTTAAATTCAAACTTCGTT